AGAGCCTGAGAAGGTCACCTCCATGGCCCTCCTTGTTAAGAGGATTCTGGGAGATGTAGTCTGAAAAAGTAACCTTTCCAAGCTCTAGCTGAGGAACATAACGGGGGCACATAAACCATGCTGCTCAGGGCTGACCAGATACAGTAAGCACTGAATACGCTTCCCTTCCTGCAGGCAACTGCACAAGGAATGCCCATCTATGAACAGCCTCTTTGCCTCTCAGTTTCTGCGCTGCTCATGCCTTTTAGAGAAGAGATACTTTGCAGATGTTGGCTGGCTTTGCCTCACAGGTTGCCTCAGTGATAACTGGGCTTGCAATTACTGCGCCTGCCTTTCATCTCGCTGTTACTAGGCTCTCATGGTATAAACAGTTTCTAGCATTTTCTATATACCACGCATGTAAAAAGGGAACAAACTACATTGTCTAAAAACCTAAAGAAAGGTTGGAATTCCTTGAAACCAATTTATTTCATTAACATAATTTCCCTCAAATAATTATGGAACTATTGTTTCTCATTGGAAAAGAGTGGTGTTTTAAAACACGAGCTTTTGTCTTGAGTTTTTATATTAAATAATCCACTTATAATGATCTTATAAATGACTGAAGAGATGTTTACTATTGGCATAGATAGAATTTTAAGTTTGGCAATGTTTTATTATATATAATTATTAACTAAAGAACCAATTGTATCCTGTTTGGACTTCTGACAGGCTCCTCCAAGGTCCTCTTGAGAGCACAGAGTGCTACTCCTATCCTCTGAAGATGCCGGCCACAGAGACTGGTGAAATGTTAGGAAGAACAACCTTCAGAACACAGCCAAAGAGCCCGATAAACCCAAAACAACAGTTCTCCAAGGTCATTTGAACATTAAAATTACATGCTGGAAACAAACAAACCCTAGAGCAGCGGTCCCCAACCTTTTAAACTCCACGGACTGGTTGGGGAAGGCGGGGCACACACACCCCTGCACTCGCGTGCATGTGTGAATGAGTGGATGCACGCTTGTGTGGGTGCATACACTCGCATGCATGATGGAGCGGGCGTGCACTCACGCAGGCATGCAGATGTTCGCACGCAGGCGCAAAGGGCTGGGGTGCTCGGGGGACACTTGCAAAGGGGTGGGAGGGCACTTGCACGCATGCACAAAGGAGCTGTGCGGGGTGCAGCAGTGCATGTGGGGTGGGTGGGAGATCTGTCTCTGTGGCCCGGTGTGGCCCAGACCACAGACCGACACCGGGCCGCAGACCAGGGGTTGGGGACCTTACCCTAGAGCATTGTAACAGAGCTAAAGAACAAACAGTATGGAGGGGATTAAAGAAGTCAAGGTTATGGTGGAATGAGTGTCCTTTTTTGAAAGCTGACATTCCAGAGTCAGGGTGACACACCCTGTCTTACATCCTAGCCAACTATACCTCTACTAATGGTGGCAAGTAGAGGGGGTAGATTAAATATCCTGGTTCCAAACTATTTAGAGAAGCTGAAGCTGAAGTAAGGCATCATAAACTGATCTGATCTTTCCCAAATAAAACTGCTTTTTAAGGCAATTATGCAAATTCAGCAAGCACAAGCTGTACAGATGATGGACTGGCTTCAAGAAGGGATCACTATAGGGCTCAATGGCTCTCTCCCCTTTTTTCTCATTCCAAGCTCACCCTCAGCTGGGTATGCATGCAATACAATGCCCATTGCAATCGCAGGAGATCCCTGTGTACCATTTTCCATTTATACAGCAAACTGTCTCTTGATCCCCAGTACATAGATTACATGGGCTGCGAGCATTTCACAGTTGGCATGAGGTCTTGAATGCATATATAGAAAATCTCAGCACATAAGATTCTCCTTGCAAGTTATGGCCATCGTATTCCCATACACCTGTGTCTGCCTAGCTGGAAACCCAATGAGACCATGAGACCACTCTCCTCCTGCACACATTGTTATGCCCCTGGTGGGTGGTGGGTGATGCTCTTGACATCTTCAATAGCTCTATACCTTAGGTCTCACTGAATTCAGTGACACTTATCTCTGAGTGCAGTGTGGAGTACAGTGGTGCCCCGCTTGGCGATGATAATTTGTTCCAGGAAAATCGCTGTTAAGCGATATCGTTGTCAAGCAGGAAAAAACCTATTGGAATGCACTGAAAACCGGTCAATGCGTCCCAATAGGGAAATACCTCATCGTCCAGCGCACTCATTCCCCATAGAGAACCACCAATCAGCTGTTCAAAATAACTGTAATGCAAAGCTTCCCTCCGGAAAGCAGCCATTTTGAGAAGGGAGGGAAGCCATTTTCCGGAGGGAAGCCATTTTCCGGAGCCAGAAAAATCATCGTTAAATGAACAAACGGTTCACGAAGCAGGCTCCTAATTGTCATAAAGTGGATTTTTCCCATAGGAACCATCGTTTTGCGATTGCAATAGCGATCGCAAAAAAGTCGTTAAGCTATTTCAACGTCATGTTGGTAAGCGTATAGCTTGTTTATATTCAGTATGCCAGCTAGGCAAGCCCTTGTCAAACAATATACTATTCCACTACAACCTATTTTCTATATTTAATGCTCACTGGGTTATGCAGAAGGGCCTTTTTGCTTTCTTAAGTTCGCTGTCCCTGCGACAAGAGCACTCCTGTAATTCTTGGGATTTCCACCCCAATATTCTGATATTTCCATAATTAGTGTCCCCATTATGGCTACAAATCCTGCTGGTATCCCCACCTGAGTTCACTGTTAGTGGGAGTGCTTTGTTCTCTACGCAACTAGATACTCCACGTTACTACCAAAATAGTTTGAAGCAAAGAAAGAAGTTTACTTACCTTTAAGACGCAAGTACGTCAAAAATTCAATTACTGTATGCATAATATTTTCATCAGTCAAGGCTCTTCCAAAAGGATCTAGAAAATATTAACCTGAAGTTACTGAATTTGCTGTTATCATAGGAAAATTAAAGAGGGGAAACATGCAACAATAGCATGTAAAGTGGGAACTAATCAATAGACCAAGCCATGTTTTATTAAGAATACCAAATGTTTTGATACCTTGTAGCACAACATGTGTGTGCTTGTGTGTCGCATCTTACTTGGAGCCCTATCCAGCAATGTCTTTTCACCAACAGAATGGACAACATTGATAGAATTGATTCACTAACTTGCAACCCCTCAAATATGCACCAGCAGGTTGAGAAACCCTCTGGAGCAGATCTGGGTGGTGTTGAGGTGAGGGAGATTCATCAGTCAAGGCTCTTCCAAAAGGATCTAGAAAATATTAACCTGAAGTTACTGAATTTGCTGTTATCATAGGAAAATTAAAGAGGGGAAACATGCAACAATAGCATGTAAAGTGGGAACTAATCAATAGACCAAGCCATGTTTTATTAAGAATACCAAATGTTTTGATACCTTGTAGCACGTGTGTGTGCTTGTGTGTCACATCTTACTTGGAGCCCTATCCAGCAATGTCTTTTCACCAACAGAATGGACAACATTGATAGAATTGATTCCCTAACTTGCAACCCCTCAAATATGCACCAGCAGGTTGAGAAACCCTCTGGAGCAGATCTGGGTGGTGGTGAGGTGAGGGAGAGGAAGGGAGTGTCAATCTTCAACATTCCCCCCCTCCACTGACAGGCAGATCAGATAAGTATCCATTGCACAGCACACTTTTGACCTTGACAGCAGCATCCTATGGTATGAACAGATGTCTCTCCACATAGTGGTGGTTGTAGGACCAAACACATCTTTCTCAATTAACTGATGCCTCCCTTGTATGTGAGAGTTTCAAAAAATAAGAAAGGACAATTGCCTCATGTCCAGGTGAAATCTGACCAACACATGTGCACCTGGTTTTACATGTTTCCACTATCCATCTTAGATTCTTGATATTTCAACATCCAGCCAGAATGAATTTTGCATTTTCCTGTTTCTCCTCTCAATCCAAACTCTGTAATGCCCAACCTCAAGAAGAGTTCTAGAGCACTCTTTCAGTGGTCTGACAGACGTATCACCTACATTGTTCTGCACAAGGACAAGGCTTTTTTCCCCTTCTTGTTTCAGGAGTTTGAGGTTTTCTAATCACCCTTGTTTTGCAAGAAATGGGAAATATACATATCTCCTCCCCAAAATGAAGTTTTGCATTAGTTTGCAGCTGAAGAAGAAAAACCCCAGCACTGATTTAAAACCAACGCTTAAAAACCACTTGACTTTTCCAATCAGATATTTTCCTCAAAAAATGGTTTTCTATATCTAGAGAGGATTCCCTTGTACTACGATCATGAAATTCTCAATGGCCAGGGGGCACCAACATGCATGAAAAAACGTGTTGGAAAAGAAGATTGAAAGCAAAACATGGAAAGTTAGTGCTAAAAGTGTTATTGCACTAGCAGAGGGGCAGTCCATGTTAATCTATTCATGAGGACCCTCATGCAAAGGTTTTGTCCACTGTCTCTGTACAATACATGCCTTCCAGGAGAAAAAGGGACAACTTGCTATAGCTGACATCAGAAGCAACATCTGACAGTGTTTCTGGCAGTATCACTTCCTTCCTAGGCTGCTGGCTGCTATGGATCTGCTGCTGTCACCGCTACCATCAGTGCAACACCACAACCACCACACACATTTCCAGGCTTCTAACAGTCTTCAGTGGTGGGCAATCTCCAGTTTAAAATTCTTTCTGGTGGCATTTCTTGACTTGAATGGTGGTTGGCACTTAATAAAAGATGAATGGAATATTAATATGCTTATTCTTTTTCTGGCTGGGGATGATGATTACAGAAGCTTCATGTCCAGGAAGAGATACTGAGATTCCAACATGTTAAAAAGTGGCAACCAACCCTCCAGATGATTATCTGGACTTTTTAGAACCTTAATACTATTGCAAGATTGCTTATCCTCTCAGGGGGATTGGGAGGAGAGACTCTTTTGAAACTAGAAAGGTGTCAGACAGTATTTCACAGGCAGCTTTTCAGAGATTTCTGAGAGAGACATATACCTCAAAAGTATGAGATTATTTTGTTACCTGCTTTTATGCTTTCTTCAGGCTGTAAGTCACGTTTCCCAGCTAGTCCATGCTTGTCATTAAAAACTCTGTCTATCGCATCTGTGAAGAACATGAGAAAGTGGAGAGGTTTTTACTATTCTAGTGCGCCCAGGACTATAGGGAGAGTCATTCATGTCACCACACCAAATAAGAAGATCTCCATTCTCACCAAGAGCATAACAGATATTTGTGAAGGAATGATGCACCGTGAATGAACAAAACGAAGCATTTCACTTCAGCTAGCACACCAGTTGTAAACCTATGTGGCATTCTGGCTGCAGCATTGACATATAAATGCAGCAGCAGCACAATGCCACATTTCATGAGGCCACGGTGGTGCAAGCGAGTGTGGTGGTTCAGTTGAGGGCTTAGCTGAGACCAGGCTGTAAGTGTTGAAGGGAATCAGCTGGGGAGCACAGCTGGAAGTGATGTCTAATCACCACGGCCCCATATAGGTTTGGCCCCATATAGGTTTGGCATCTGTGCTAAATCAGTGCAGGAAGCAAGTGTTGTTTGTGGACAGCTTTGAGAAATCTGGATGTCTCTTGACTGCCGGACTGGGCCTTGATGGGAGAGATTCACGACAGTGTTAGTTTAGTGCATC